TATTAGAGTAAGAATTGATTTGGGGGTGAATAAGCCACTACCAAGATTGATTTGGAGGTGAATAAGCCATTGCGAAGATTTAAAACTTCTTAGATCTCTACTATGGAAAGTGAGAAACTTTAAATTAAATATGAACGACTTTTAGAGTTTTGTTATGTTTGTGGATGCATGGGCCATCTTGAAAATGATTGTGAAATTGCAAATTGTATCAAAGATGCCAAGGGTAAAATTGTTCGTCGATCTGAGTCTTAGTTAAAAGCTAAGTTGGAAAACTCATGGTGCCCAAATGATTTTGATTTTTTAGAAGAAATTTTCTTTGCAAATACTTAATTTCTAGTTGAAGATAGGATTGAAGGGAACAAGGAGCATTATGAGCCTGTGGGTAATGTAACAAGCCAAATAAAGGGGCACAAGGATATTGTTGTTGGAAATAGGTTAAATACCCTTTTTGGTCCCTCTACTATAGGAAAAAGCCATTTTTTGATCCCTGTACCGAAAAAATCCCCTTTTTGATCCTTACTGTTCACAAATCTAACCCTTTTTTAGTCCTTCCGTTAAATTTTGGCTGACGTGGCAGGTTAATTAACGGAAACACTCATTCTTTTTTTTTCATTAAATTACATGGAAAACCCACGTGACAAAAATTGATGACATGCTAAATCCACGTGGAAAATCCCACTTTTAATTACTGATATACCCTCATCTTCTTCCCCTTCCCCGACTTCTCCTTCCTCCAGCCTTTTTTTTCTTTTACCTCCAGGCAAACCCAACAACCTGGGTTCGCAAAACTTAAAAGGCAGCCATAACAAACAAGCAAAATGAACCAACCAGTGTTAATATGAAGGAGAAAAAGGCTCCTAGGTGCGAACCCAGCTCGTGGGTTCGCGCGAGGGTTCGCGAGGAACCCAAGCTCGTGGGTAGGAACCCAAGCTCGTGGGTGCGAACCCAGCTCGTGGGTGCGAACCCAGCTCGTGGGTGCGAACCCAGCTCGTGGGTGCGAACCCAGCTCGTGGGTGCGAACCCAGCTCGTGGGTTCGCACCTCGCGAACCCAGGCTCCTGGGTGCGAACCCACGAGCTGGGTTTGCGAGGAACCCAAGCTCCTAGGT